CTCCATAACAAAACTGTCAATTTTATATATACAACACGTAAACTATACTATATTAACAAAACTATTAGCTAATGTGTATACGAATACATAATTTACTAATTTATTATATAATATATATGAGTGTAAAAATTCATTTATCAAAATATAGTATTTTTTTATAAAAAAATAATTTATTATTATCATAAATAAAAAAATATTAATATAAATATTACTTTTTTTTATATATAAAATAGTGACAAATAATAATATAGAATGATATTATCATTTCATTTAGGTCTTATTCCTTCTGCATACGAAACACATCAATGGAAAAACTGGTTTCACTCCTTTCCCTCATTACATTCTTCAACTCATTTCATTCCTATCAAATTCCATTCTATTATACCAATCATGTCATTATTATTCATTTAAGTAATAAAGAATATGGTATGATTTACTTGTTGTATATAGAAGGTTAACTCCACTATGGAGCCAACGATTGGCTTCATAGTGAACATGCTGAAATGCTTAAATATGTCTAATTTCATGCGGAAATGCTTACATATGTCTAATTAACACACCACTTATTCAATGGACATGTTAGACAAAAACACAAGTCTAACACATTTTCTATTTCTACATAAAAATAAATCAAATCCTTTTTCATAACTTATATAGATTATAACATTGTCTATAACTAAATGTTGGTGAAATCAAGGATTAAAATGATAGTAAAATAATATTATATAAACGCGATACAATTAGTATTATTTATTATCTAATAAAATGAGCCAAGACCAAGCCAAATTATGGAAAGTTTAATAGTGAAGTGTAATGGCTAATGAATACTTAACCAAAGGGTGTTCCATCTCATCAAGTATACGGTTCGGTTTTAACCGAAAAAAACCATCAATCCGGACCGCCGATCGGTTAAATAGTCGGTTAAAAAAATATTACAAATTCAGGTGATTAATTTTTTTAAAAATCAGGAATAACCGGTCCGGTTAAAGGATTACCTGCGGCAAACCGTCGGTTTAACCGGACCGGACCGGTAAATATAAAAAAATTATAACAAATATATATATACATTCAATCATTCACTGTGACAGACAAATGCAATACATTCACTTTCACTTTTCTGACTTTTTTGCATAATTTAATCTTCATCATTTTTGTATTTTTATGTTTATGGGACGTAATGTGTATTTTTATGCTTATGTGACGAATTATGTATATTTTATTTCATTATTTTTTTTTTTTCTTAATTTTTAAGCTCAAATAATCTTTTGGACCCAAAATTGAAAAAATAAAAATTAAGCCCAAAATGAAAAAATAAAAATTGAAGGCCGTCAAACCGGACCGTCCAATGTGGTCCGGATTGTGGCCGGTTAAAAAATAAAACCTTATGGACAAGAAAAAAAAAATTAACCCTTAGGTTCGGTTTGGTCGGGCTGAAACCGGACCCATCCGTGAACACCTGTATCATCAAGTCGATGGTATCTGAAAACCGTGGATTCTGCCTACTGTTTTTCATTTACACACAAGTCAGAAATAACATTTTATTTGTTTGTGAACTGTTGTGATTACGACGAATCACAAAAATGATGATGCACATGACTTTCAAATTTTCTTCCCGACTCAAAAGAATTCCTTCACTTTTAAATCTCTTGATGGTGGACTAAGGAAACAATTGGGAATTTCTCGACATTCTTTTGTGGAAAACGAAAGGAATTTTGTTCGTAAATAAAGTATTATAAATTATTTGTATGTGTAATATTAAATTAATAAATTAAATAATGATATTATATTTTAGACATAGAGTATATAAGTGCATATAATACTAAAATTATAAGTTAGATAATGATCTTATGTTATAAAATTTGATCATTGGTTATAATAAATAGTACATAACTATTTGATTACATATAAATTACTATATTGATTAAATAAAATGTAATAAATAATATAATTTTTTGTAATTTTGATGGATCGTGACCAATTAATTAGCTGAAAAATATGAAATTTATTATAATGAAGGGTATTTTATTATCATATACAATAAAAAATATAATTATTACTCAATTAATATAAAATATAAATACTTTTGTCTTAAATAACCTAAAAAAAGGAGCAAGAAAAAAATTATATTTTATCTTTAATGGGATATAATAGATTAATGTAATAATAATAATAATGGTCTGAAATGAAAAAAAAAGGAAAACAACAAATAGTATTATATATATATATATATATATATATATATATATATATATATATATAGAGAGAGAGAGAGAGAGAGAGAGAGAATATAAATTAAATTGTAACGGTTTTTTGCGAGAAATCTATAAAGATTTTATTAAATGATTTGTTAGCAATTATATATATATAGATTCGATTTCTCATCTAGACCGTTATTATAAATCACAATGGTAGAGTATATTTTCATCATTTTACAAATCGACCAAGAGGAGAGTGACTCGGCGTAGCGAACCACTAGGTCAAGTCAAGTCAAGAAATAATGTTATTGTATCAATAACATTAATTAAGTATAAAATATAATTTAATATTTGTTACAATCTTCTCTCAATCGCTTGAGCTGGTCTACCAGCCACAAAGACGATTGAACATAAAATATGCGAATTTTCCCCTACATATGAAGCTCATTATATAATTCCCTACATATGAAGCTCATTATATATTGTATAGGTCGTCGATGCTCGTATTTCATAACATATTAGTTACTATGGAAAGTGTCAAACTCAAATCATATGTTATTAGTTCATGTCATCTTTAGAATTTTTGATCAAGGGATAACAAGAAAAGGTCTAAGATATATGTTTCTCGATAAATTTATGTGTGTGAGAGAGAGAGAACGTGATCAAACACACTCGAGCGTTGGATGTTATTACAACAACGTCCATCAGTCTAAAAAAACTCAAGTCTTGGTGATTCATTACAACAACATCCATCACTCTCTAAAAAACATAGTCTGAAAAGACGAGCATATATTAATCTAGTCCAAATGGAGTAGATGTTTGAGGTTTAAGTGTACATTGCTAAACGGGACACTCTGCATACGAGGAGAATGTCTTCAACACATGAATGTGATCACCCACTCTAATTGCCTTCTCAGTTTCCGCAGTATCATTTGAGCAGACCATAAATGTACCCACGTAAACCTACAAAACAATCAATTTTGTTGGTTTAACTCTTGGGGATATCGACCCATTTGATATATATATAGTCATTATCAAATTTAAATCTTGCAATTTCACTTGCCCTTCCACGCTGTTTTTCCTTGTTAGGAAACAATACTCTGCCAGACCGGAAATTCTTGAGAGTCTCGTTTGGCTCAGATCCTCCTACTGCCGTATCTTGATTAATTGTGGGAATCTGTGACAAAAATACACCAAAAGTTTGACCTATGAAAGAAGGGGAACACCAAAAATGATTTGTATTATCTTCCGAATCTCTATCCTTTTTTCCCTCATAGGTAGACATGTTATAAATGCATAAACAAATACCAATTTAATACCTTGCAGCGCCAGCAAAGCTCACCCGCACTGAACGTCAGGCCATTTATTTCTACTTCATTCCACAAATCCTCAGAAAAAGGTTCACAGCCATCAATAAGGAGACTGTCAAGATTACGCGAAGGAAAAGAAAAGTGAGTGCATTTCCAACGGATCACCCTGCTTTACAATGAGATCTTCGAATGTCGACTTAGAAATAGGGAAGCATCTAAATAAACAAGATCAATTACTTGGGTCGGAACCGGTTGACAGGCACAGGTTCCGAAAGCTGGGAATTTAGTGCGTCCATTGAACTCTGCATAAGATCGAAATAATTAAGCATTTTCATTTCTACTGTTCTTCTAGAGAAATGTTTTCATTTTCGTTCTTTTTTCCCAATACTTCACGTACTTGGGATAGGAGGTGGAAGGGATATGCATCAGAAAATCTGATGGCGTGGCCTACACAAAGTTCAGACATTACAGCCCTTGATTCTGATTCTGTATCAACAAATAATCACAAATTACTTTGCAACAACATACAAATCAAAGCCAAGCATTTTTTTTATATGCTGAGCAACTATGAAAAATCATATCATTGAGCAAAAACCAACAAATGCTGCTTCATGCAGAAAGTTAGACATTCGTTGCCACATATATACACGAGATCCATGGGAGCATCCAAAGGTAAATGATGTTTGGTGGAAACCTTCATTAAAACGAACAAGACGACTCGGTTTCTCCAGATAGTTTGAGAACCACGCTGCTACCTCGTCGCCCTCGTCAAAGGCAGAGCCATGCCAATTCCACACTGAGATGCCATTAGCTATTGCACGAGGTTCGACCAATGGCACCTTCACAACATTCATACCAGGTGCGGTGCTCTTATTTCTGTTAAATTAAAGGACAGTGAGCAAATCAAAAGGGTTGTAAACAACTTGTATTATACAATATTCAATTATAAAGCAGCTGACAGAAATTCGCAAGGCTAACATAGATAATAAACAAATTCCAAAACAGTGAAGTGAAGGTAAAAGGGCAATTTGTAGCTGAAAGTAGTCAAATTACAGAGTTTTACTGATGATTACCGAAAAATAATGCGGGCAATTTCATATCTGAACGCAGAAAGGAGTAAAATACCTAAGAAAGAGGTCCTATTTGGCTTCCAACCAGGTGAAAAAAGCTTCAGGCGGCAGGTGTACTTGAACCAGGGCGAGTTTTGGCACTACTCTCTGTGTATACATTCTGCCGTTCGAATTCACGACCATCCACAGTCGATCCCACCGGAAACCTTAACACGCAAAGCACGAAGAAACCAAATATCATATCAAATATGTATAACAAAATTAGGAAGAAAAATATCGGGATGGAAGGTACCAGTTGAAGCAAGAGGCGCTTGTGAGACGGAGATTCTTCCGCACGACTTGATTGGGTATACGAATATTGACTTCACCGTTGGGGCTTCGACGCCGGCGGTAACCTCCGCCATTGCTAGTTACTGCCCGTGAATTGCGAGGATGAATGAGTGCAGATGATGATTGGCGTATAATTCGGTTGCTAGCAAGAGTACTACTAATAAATTCAGTAATACTCACACAGTCACACTACACTGTCCATCATTTCATGGAAAAAAAGGTGTAGGATATTTTAAGAGGAAGGATAAGTCACGTAACTATAATTATTATTTGTTGATCACTTCAAAAAAGAATAGTAAATATAAACGTGTTTTTTTTTTATTATTATTATTTTTTTTCATACCATTTGGCGTTGTCGGTGGTAAACTATTCAAAAAGCCAATAAAACTCCACCATCCATGGCGAATGAAGTTCCCAAAAAAAATTTAGAGTCGATTTTTGACGACGTGTGGACGACCACGCTTCTATTTGGAGAAAGCCCACCACCAGGCTTCTCTAGACCATCTCAGACTGCGGTAACTCCGGCGCCTCACCTTACAGGCTTAGGGAGCTCATTGGCGGTCTCCATTGCAGCAGCAAGCTCGAGCAACCCGTCAGATGCTCGAACGATATGGGGGGTTGTGGTTCAAATGGAGTTGCTGCCAGATCCAATACAAATTTCGTCGATGGGGCCACCCCAGAGTGAGTCCGAGCAAGGATGGCTAAGGCTCGTTATGCTGTCCAACATCCCAGTAGGTCACTTAACAAACATCCCAGATCCCAAGCGACCACTACACCCACTACTGTTGTGGGAACGAACAGGCAGGAGACAGAGGGCAAGAAGTCGAGTAGTAGGGACACTGGAGCACACCGAGATCGAACGGTGAAGAGAATGACGGAGCAGATCCATCAGCTGCAGGCAAAGGTCAAAGGAAAAATTGTTGGTCGAGATTGATGGCACCCTTTTTTCTCGGGAGATCCTCGACGCTGCACCGCCAACCAACTTCAGAGAGACCAGTCTTACATATGACGTGTCGACGGATCCACCCAGGAATGTGACTTAGGTGGTTTTCGATGCTAGTTCATCTCTAAGCGTTTGTCATCTTGCTCTAATAATTTTATTGTTTTGCCTTCTATACTTTGATATTTTAGTCTTATGCTCTGAGAGTTGGTTCACATGTACGTCGTGCTCTATGATTTGATAGTTTATAGTCCCATGTCGATTCATGTTGTAAGCTTAACTTATCTTATGCATGTTTTGTTTCAAGAAACGATTTATCAATTTGTATGCCAAATAGGGAGATTGTAAGAAAATTGAATTTGACATTAATAAAAAATATTTATTTATCGTATTTGTGTTTCTTGAAATAGGTAATATGAAGTTAATTCTTGAATCTTGAAGGAAAGGAAGATCTTCTTATGTTGACTTTTCATATTTTAGCTATTCTCTTATTATATATTTGGAATTAATTATCTTCTTTTTGCTTGAATGAAAATGAAAGACACTAGAGAATAAAAGAACAAGAGGAGCTAGAGATTTAGTAGGTGATTTCATACATATTCTTTTCCCTTAGTATTTGTATTTCTTACTATATTTTATATGGTATATTTTTAATTATCTTTCTCTATTTGTAGGGAAAAAAAAAAAAGAATAACGAGATAATAATCGGAAGAGATTCGTGTGAGATTTAAGAGTTGAAAAACATGAGGATGATAGCTGAAGAATTGAGCTAGAAAGGAAATAAATCGAGTATGAAGATATTCCCATGAGTCAGCTAAGGATCAAGGAAATAGAGTTCCACAATACCGGAGAGAGAGAGAGACAGAGAGAGAGAGAGAGACGATTAAATCTGAAGATTTGGACAAGATATTCATGCATGGTGACTTAAAAGGCATTGGGAGTCAGTTTCTAAAGCTGAAGGAGAACATCGAGAAGATTTGGAAACTCCCAATTTACGATGAACCTACATATCATTTATAGTTGTGTATATATTCTAGTTTCACAAGCTCTAGTTATTTTGCGAGATATTTCATTATTCTTTCAGAGAGATTAGAGTTTTTATCATTGAGAGCTTGCGAGTTTTTTTTTTTTTTTTA